ATATATGTGACAATGAATTTCTCTATGCCAATATAGTACTAATGTTTGTTGAATACTTTCAGATAATCATTTCTTTGTCTCCAACAACTTGTCCACATAACAATAGTAATGTCCAACAATATACCCATATTCCTGGTAATTTTGGTAATGAATATATAATATATCCAGATATTAACGAAAGTATTGATGCAGCAACAAGAGTTATTACTGCTGGTCCCATTGAAAAGTTATATGTAGGAAATTCTTGAAATAAATTATCATGTGATAATTGTGTTGTTTTTAATTCATTTTCAAACTTTTTTGTTAGTTCTAAAGCGTCATTTGCTGCTTTTGATAATAATTCAAGTTTAGAAGAATTATCATTTTTTGTTTCTGATGCTGCTTTATGAATCTCTTTTAATGCTTCAACTAAAATAGGAATTATACCAATAACATCAACAGATAATCCAAATTCATCTTCATGAACTAATTCAGGACATACTTCTTGAACTTCTTGTGCGATAAAACCTAATTTTTTATCATCTTTTCCTATATACTTAAATGATTTACCTGTTAAATTTAAAATTTTATCAACACACCCTTTGAGGGGTTCAATATGCTCTTTTACACGAGCATCAGATCGTTGTAAAAATCCATTTTCAGCTAATACCTCTCCTGCAATATATAAACGTTTTAAATTTTCATTAATTTGAACTATACGAATAAAGTCATCATGTTGTAATACATCTTTTAATTGATCTTCTGGACAATTTTGTGTAACGCATTGCCAAATTTGAATTTCTTGTTGATTTTTAAGTAATTTTTGTTCAAAATTATTAGAGTCTAAATTAAAAGAATTGGTTGTTGTAATTGTTTGTTTATTAGAAAATTTATTTCTTGCATAAATACATTGTTGTTGAATATCAAGCATAGGGTCAATTTCTACCATATACATTTCACATAACCTCTTAATTTCAGATTTATTCTTTATTTTTTTGTATACTTGATTTTTATCTTCATTAAATAAAGGTGAATTTGACAAATGTCTTAAGTGTCCATCCCATACATGAGAATAACAATTGTAATGAGTTTTAACAGATTCTTTGCATCCAGGAAATACACATAACCAACTTTTTTTCTTATTTGGTTGGTTGGGAGTTTCACTCATTTTTTATTGTTTTTTAAAGTTTTTATTTTATTATTTTTGTTTTTATTTTGGTTCTACAAAACTATTTGTTTGTACATCACAAAATAACAGAAATACTACTTTTAATGTTTTATATTGTTGAATTATTTTAGAATGAGAAGTCGTTTAAATAAAAATAATATCACTGAGATTTCTTAAGTATTTTATAGGGCACTATATATTTTTTATTATTTTGATATATATATATCTAATAATAATTATTTAATTTATAGCCAATTTAATAAAATTAATATGGTTGGATAAGCTCTTGTAAACATAAATTCTAATTTGTTTGTTTAATTGTGAATACTTTTAATAAATATAAGTGTTTTGTAACTATGAGGTATTAATGACTAATTTCTTATAATATAACACACTTGTTCAATTTCTTTTTTTTATTATATATTTTTCAATATATTTCTCTTTTTATATATCTCTAATAGTTATACCAGAAGATCATATTATTTTGTCATCATTAGTTTTACCAAACCTCCATAGTTATAGTTTTATACCAATAATAAACATCCTTTTTGAATATTTAAAATATAATACCAATGGTTATTCTGAATAAAAAAAAACATTTATATCTATTTACATCAATACTTTAACTGAAAATATACATGTATAAATTGGTTTTTATATATTTAGAAGATATTTTGGATAAAAATTATAAGTAGTATACTATTTATTTATTTCAGAAATAACTCATTTTTCTATTATATTGATAAGCTTTAATACATGTGCTAGTATATCTAATATTATCTCTTTGAATGACTGGCTTACACTTGTTATACAGACATTTCCAGTTTTTAATTATTTAATTTATGTTATTAAATTCATTAGTATTCTTTTTTACATAACTATGACTTATAAAAAACAAAAAATATATATAAAGTAAATTTTGAATAGATAATAAGAATTTATATTGTTTGATAACTAAACATTAGACGATTTAATGATGCAGATTTATTAACAAGAAAATAATTGATATGTTTTTAAACAAGAACTGTTTTATATAAAATTTAATTTTATTATTTTATTTAATTTAACAACTCAATCTGTTCTAGAGTATGCTAAAAATATGACACCATGAAGTGTTTTTGTTGAATTTAAAAATTAATGAAAGATATAATTAAAATTTTAAAAGAATGCTCACTGTATAATCAACCCATATTATTAAATCATTATTGATTATTTTTCATATCTTCTATTTTTAACTCTTTAATTTATGGTGTAATTATATAATAAACCTTATATGGATACTCAACAAAAAATGAAGATTAACAAATGTTAGTATAATTTCTAACATATAGAATTAACAAAAGATTAAAAAAAAGATATATACTTATCAAAAAATGAAATTAAGGTTAAATTAAAACTATAATATAAAATTCGAGAAAACAAAAAATAAAAGCATATTACAAAAATTGAACCAGTTCATTTACAAAATTAAATTAATAAGTATTTCTTCATTAATAATTTAATTAATATACCAATAAAAATACAAAAATTGTTGTAGTTTATATGTTCTTATTTTTTAAGTCTCACAAAAATAATTAAACAACACTTTAATCTAAATAAAAATAGGTAATACAAAGAGAATAAACAAACAAAAGAAATCAATTACCTAAATTACTTTTTTATTTAATAGAATTGACCTATACTGAAACAATATAATGAAAAGAAAAAATAACAGAATAAAAGTTAGTTCTTATACAATTAATTAGTGTGTCATTGTTATTAAAAACAATTCTCTGTTCATTATTAAATAGTATTTAAACTAATATTTGATAAACCATAGAGGAAAGAGTTAATAAAATGGGTATAATAAAGAAAAACAAATAAAATATAATCAATAAAAAATAATATTTATTTTAGATATTTTTATAATTATTAGAACTTAATAAAAGAACAAAAAAAGTAATTAAAAAAAGGCAAAACATTAGAAAACTAAATTATGTTATTGGTTGTGTCATAACTCTTTTTTATTAGAAAAACTAAAAAAACTAAAAAATAAACAAAGTGAAAAATGCAAGGAATCAACGTTGATGCTCTTGTCTCACAAATTAATTCATTAACTTCTGTATTAAAAGAAGAACAAACTAAGTATGAAAATGAGCTTCAAAAATATAAAGAATGTCGAAAGGAAACTATAGATGCTGTAAATAACTGGGGGAGTTCACCAGTTAAAGAAACAACCTCAGCAGAAGATGTAGAAATGCCACCAGAAGAGCAATATAAAATGCCATTATCATGGATTATTTTAAAAAGAGTAGTTCAAGGAAGAGATTGGCACTATGGTAGAACTGATAAAAAAGAAGAAAAAGGTGTTGTTTTTTCAGTTAATAAAGATGGACAAATAACAGTAAGATGGGATGATGGTGACAAGACTCATTGCAGTTGGGGAAAAGACGGTAATTTTGATGTTACTGTTATAAGTAATACACTTGATATGACTCCTATCGAACCATCAGAACAAATTCGTAAACCAATTTCTTGGCTTGTTGGAAGAAAAGTCAAAAGAGGAACTGATTGGAAATGGTCTGACCAAGACGGTGGAGAAGGGAAAACAGGTTTAGTATTATCTTCTGCTGGAAAAGGATGGATTAATGTTAAATGGGAGAGTGGAAAAGTTAATCAATACCGCTGGGGAGAAGATGATTGTCATGATGTTGAAGTCATTTTTTAATTAAAATGTTATCATCATTTAGTTTATTATTTTAAATTAATTTTTTAAAAAACATTCAAAATTTGAGGTAAATTTATTATATTTTGTTTTAAAGAAATTTCTTATTAATTTATAGATCTATAACTTCATTAATTAATAAATTTATATTTGTTTTACAGTTTAAAATGATAATAAAAGAATTTTGATAAATTGATTCTTAATCGAGAAAAATATTTAAATTTTAATTCATCTTGTTTATCAAGTTAAATTTTTAGTTCAATAAGATTAAATTGTTGTTTGAAACAATTGAGTTTTTATAAAAGTTTTGAAAATAAATAACAAAAATGAAACGAAAAAATAAGATAAAATAATGTTATAAATAACGATATTTTATAATATGTTTAATTAAATCAAAACTATAAATTTAAAATTTGTAAACAATGTGGAGGAAGGTACCTTCTTTACATGAACTATCAGAAGAAAAAGAAAAAGAAATATCTGTATTGAGAACAAAAAGAAGAGAGCAGTTTTTACAAAAGAAAAGAGTTGAAGATAATAGTCAAAGCAAAGAAGTAAATTTAGAAGATATTAATTTGTTTATTAATGGAGTAAACAAAAAGAATTGAAAGTTATAGATGTCTTGAAAGTTGTTAGAAGTGATGAAATACATATTGTATAATTCA